TAGCTATTAATTGCCATATCGTAATTAGATATGTTTAGGTAAACTTCTGCGATATTATTGTGAAGTTTAGCGATTGATAATTGATTACGATTATGGTAGTAATGAATTTTAAGCGCTTTTTCATAGTTTTCCCATAGATTTAATGAGCCTTCAGGTTGCATAAACAAATTGTAGTAACTCTCAGCTTTTTCATAGTTACCTTTATCACATAAAGAATTTCCAATCATAATCAAAGTTGGAGTATTATCAATTGAGATACTTTCTGCGGCTTCCATGAGAACTAATTGTATGTGTCATCTGTCATTGTCGAACGGTTCGATTGAGATAACTTGAAATGGCGTTCCAATTGAAAATAGAACTTCACTTTTATCATAAATTACACTAACGTGTTTCATATCAGCATACGGTTTAGAGCTAATCCTAGAATCAATGATAATTTCGAATAGTACACGTTCGAACTCTTTTGATGCAGCCGACTCAGTAATCCAAGGGCAACAACAGATGACGTAGTTGCTGATAAAAACGTAGTACTCGAAAAGACTGTTCGTTCATTGTGCCTGAGCGTTCCTGTTGTCAGTGTATTTCAGTCAATGGAGAATATAACCTTTTATAAAGAAACGAAATGTATATATCAAATCAATATCTTCTGCACGACAAGCTTCGTTTAATAAACGGTAAAGAAAACTATCGTGTACCATTGACTAGACATTGCAGTGTTGTAATGTCTTTCAAAATTATCAATATCACGTTGATCCGTATATTCAAGACGACACTCTTCTAACATTTCCAATTTTGATTCTTCATTTTGTGGTATATGAATTAGAGCTTCGACCATTCGTTGAAGTTTCTCCGTATTCAAACTCCTTATTGTTAGCCGATTAGCGCCGAACGATTCTGTGTATACAGAATTGTTATATGTTGATTAAGCTCATGTATGAATCGTTGAGTGCTATTGAAATAATAAATATCCGGTAAATCATTCCGTTCCAGGTTAGTCCAACGGGTTCGAGCAATATAAATGACTAGGAGTATAAATATGTGGAAAAAGAAAGGCTTCAGGATTCTGTTGTAAATAATTTAAAAACGCATTACAGTGGTAATCAACTATTACTAAAACAACCTTTTCTTGACAATTATTCGCAGTCCTGGACGTGTTGTTTAGATGCTTCATAATAATATCCGCGGAATGTCTTAAATGTTATCAATTTATCGTCGTAACCATAATCCGTAAGACAGGCATCCGGATTACAACGTTCATAACGCACTAAAGTACAATTATCTTATAGGAGTTGATGTGCTATAGGACAAAAATGAATTCTTTGATAATCAATCCTTGTTTTCGTAATATTCCACGACAATGGTAAAGGACGGGGTGCAATAAGAACGAGGATCGGCCCTTTTTCAGATCGTCTCGAAACGTATCTAGAATGAAAGAGCATACAATTTTATGGGGTTCTATACCCTTCGTTGGACTTCGGACCTCATATGTGTCAGAAAATCGATCAGTTTTCAACAATAGCTCCGCGAGCCGTTTTCCGTAATTTTCTCAGAACACAACAACTTTGAAGGAAAGTCTTATATACCATTCGATGCAGCTTTGGACGGCGCACAAAACTGTCTATTGCTCGATTGTTATATACACCACGAACAC